CCGTTGCTACGGCTTAGACCTCCGTTGCTACGGCTGAGGCATCCGTTGCTACGGCTGAGACATCCGTTGCTACGGCTTAGACATCCGTTGCCACGGCTGAGGCATCCGTTGCCACGGCTGAGACATCCGTTGCTACGGCTTAGACATCCGTTGCTACCGCTGAGACATCCGTTGCCACGACTGAGACATCCGTTGCTACGGCTGAGGCATCCGTTGCTACGGCTGAGGCATCCGTTGCCACGGCTGAGACATCCGTTGCTACGGCTGAGACATCCGTTGCTACGGCTGAGGTATCCGTTGCTACGGCTGAGACATCCGTTGCTACGGCTTAGACATCCGTTGCTACGGCTGAGGCATCTGTTGCTACGGCTGATGCATCCGTTGCTACGGCTGAGACATCCGTTGCTACGGCTGAGGCATCTGTTGCTACGGCTGATGCATCCGTTGCTACGGCTGAGACATCCGTTGCTACGGCTTAGACATCCGTTGCTACGGCTGAGGCATCTGTTGCTACGGCTGATGCATCCGTTGCTACGGCTGAGACATCCGTTGCTACGGCTTAGACATCCGTTGCTACGGCTGAGACCTCCGTTGCTACGGCTTAGACATCCGTTGCTACGGCTGAGGCATCTGTTGCTACGGCTGATGCATCCGTTGCTACGGCTGAGACATCCGTTGCTACGGCTTAGACATCCGTTGCTACGGCTGAGACATCCGTTGCTACGGCTTAGACATCCGTTGCTACGGCTGAGGCATCTGTTGCTACGGCTGATGCATCCGTTGCTACGGCTGAGACATCCGTTGCTACGGCTTAGACATCCGTTGCTACGGCTTAGACCTCCGTTGCTACGGCTGAGGCATCCGTAGGGTACGGGTATCGGGTACCCGATTGCGACCTCTGGGATGAAGCCATGTTACAGGCGCGGGTGGGTTGATTCTAGGAACTTGAATTGTGAGAAGAGACAAGACGTTGGGAAATGAGTGACAAACGGTGACTCTTCGATTTAAAGCTTTCGTGACTGCAGGGATTCATCTTCTTGGTTCTTTCGGTAAAGTCACGTGACTTTACCGAAAGAACCAAGAAGATGAAACGGTGACTCACCAGTGACTCACGGCCTACCCGTACCCGTACCCGGCCGCACCAGGGTCGCTAACGGGTACCCGTACCCGGCCGGGTACGGGTAGCCGGGTATCGGGTAGGGTACGGGTATCGGGTAGGGTACGGGTGTAGGGTACGGGTATCGGGTAGGGTACGGGTGTCGGGTAGGGTACGGGTATCGGGTAGGGTATCGGGTAGGGTAGGGTTGGGGGGTGGGGTACGGGTAGCGGGTAGGGTACGGGTATCGGGTAGGGTACGGGTATCGGGTAGGGTACGGGTGTAGGGTACGTGTATCGGGTAGGGTACGGGTATCGGGTAGGGTATCGGGTAGGGTAGGGTACGGGTGTAGGGTACGGGTATCGGGTAGGGTACGGGTATCGGGTAGGGGACGGGTATCGAGTAGGGTACGGGTATCGGGTAGGGTACGGGTATCGGGTAGGGTACGGGTATCGAGTAGGGTACGGGTATCGGGTAGGGTACGTGTATCGGGTAGGGTACGTGTATCGGGTACGGGTATCGGGTAGGGTACGGGTGTAGGGTACGGGTATCGGGTAGGGTACGGGTATCGGGTAGGGTACGGGTATCGGGTAGGGTACGGGTATCGGGTACCCGGTTGCGACCTCTGACCCACGTTCCATTCCCACTCAAGGCCACTAACACCATCGGTGACGGTTGACCGAACCGGTCCTGGGTCTACCCTAGGTCGACTCAGCCTCAAATGAGTATCTGGTGCTGTGTGTAGTAAACATCGCCACTGGGGAGACAAAGGCGGTAGGGCGTGGTGCTGGCCACCCACCCCCTCGTGTGCCACTGTGCCGGTAGCCTTCATAAGCAGAGCTCGCTACTGACAGCACTTGCCCCTACAGTCTGTGTAGGCTATACGGGGGATGTTTGTCTTTGTGATGCTAGCCACCCACCCCCTCGTGTGCCATTGTGCCAGCCTTCATAAGCAGTGCTCGCTACTAACAGCACTTGCCCCTACAGTCTGTCAAGGCTATACGGGGGATGTTTGTCTTTGTGATGCTGGCCACCCACCCCCTCGTGTGCCACTGTGCCGGTAGCCTTCATAAGCAGTGCTCGCTACTGACAGCACTTGCCCCTACAGTCTGTGTAGGCTATACGGGGGATGTTTATCTTTGTGGTGCTGGCCCACCCTTCATAAGCAGTGCTCGCTACTAACAGCACTTGCCCCTACAGTCTGTGTAGGCTATACGGGGGATGTTTATCTTTGTGGTGCTGGCCCACCCTTCATAAGCAGTGCTCGCTACTAACAGCACTTGCCCCTACAGTCTGTGTAGGCTATACGGGGGATGTTTATCTTTGTGGTGCTGGCCCACCCTTCATAAGCAGTGCTCGCTACTAACAGCACTTGCCCCTACAGTCTGTGTAGGCTATACGGGGGATGTTTATCTTTGTGGTCCTGGCCACCCACCCCCTCGTGTGCCACAGCGCCGGTAGCCTTCATAAGCAGTGCTCGCTAGTAACAGCACTTGCCCCTACAGTCTGTGTAGGCTATATGGGGGATGTTTATCTTTGTGGTGCTGGCCCACCCTTCATAAGCAGTGCTCGCTACTGACAGCACTTGCCCCTACAGTCTGTCAAGGCTATACGGGGGATGTTTGTCTTTGTGATGCTGGCCACCCACCCACCCACCCCCTCGTGTGCCACAGTGCCGGTAGCCTTCGTAAGTGGTGCTGCTGCTACTCGCTACTGACAGCACTTGCCCCTACAGTCTGTGTAGGCTATACGGGGGATGTTTGTCTTTGTGATGCTCGCCACCCACCCCCTCGTGTGCCATTGTGCCGGTAGCCTTCATAAGCAGTGCTCGCTACTAACAGCACTTGCCCCTACAGTCTGTCAAGGCTATACGGGGGGGCGATCTTTGTTTTCGACGGCGGTGGGAATCCCAGCGTAGGCCCCGATGTGCAGGATGAAATGATCGGCAAGCATCATCATCATCCTCATCATCATCATCCTCCGCAGCAGCAGCAGCAGCAGCAGCCATCGCTCGCCAGTTCGACAGTGATGCTGTCGCCGCTTCTGATTTGTCGCAACAAAGAAGCCGTCGTACGGGTGCGGCTGTGATGCTGATGCTGCTGCTGATGATGATGATGCTGCTGCTGCTGATGCTGCTGCTGATGATGATGATGCTGCTGCTGCTGCTGATGATGATGATGATGCTGCTGCTGCTGCTGCTGCTGCTGATGATGATGATGCTGCTGCTGCTGATGATGATGATGATGATGATGCTGCTGATGATGATGATGCTGCTGCTGATGATGATGATGATGCTGCTCCTCCTGCTGCTGCTCCTGCTGCTGCTGCTACTGCTTCTACTACTCCTGCTGCTGTTGCCGCTGCTGCTGCTGCTACTGCTGCTACCACTGCTACTGCTGCTCCTGCTGCTGTTGCTGCTGCTGATGATGATGCTGATGATGATGCTGCTGTTGCTGCTGATGATGCTGCTGCTACTGCTGCTGCTCCTGCTGCTGTTGCCGCTGCTGCTGCTACTGCTGCTACCACTGCTACTGCTGCTCCTGCTGCTGTTGTTGCTGCTGTTGCTGTTGTTGCTCCTGCTGTTGCTGCTCCTGCTGCTGCTGATGATGATGCTGATGATGCTGCTCCTGCTGCTACTGCTGCTCCTGCTGCTGCTGATGATGCTGCTGCTGCTCCTGTTGCTGTTGCTGTAGTGTTTGGTAGCGTATTGTGTAGTTTATACTGGTAGGAACCTCCTGGTTACACCAGCCCACAGGGGATTATTGTGTCCGTCCGTCCGTCGTGCATCCAAAAACGGGAGGTGTGGGGCTGGGTGGAGAGGGGAGGGTGGGGAGGGGCTGGGTGGGGAGGGTAGGGCTGGGGCTGGGTGGGGAGGGGAGGGTGGGGAGGGGCTGGGTGGGGAGGGTGGGGAGGGGCTGGGTGGGGAGGGGCTGGTCACCCCGTGGTGCCCTTATAAAACTCAACGCTTAACCTACTCACGCCGGCTTGTGCCCGCCCTCACAGTCGTCCATATTTGCGGAATACACCACGCCGTCGTTGACCCTGCAGGCCATTGACCGAGCAACCCAACGTTCCTACCAGCTCCCTCCGCAGGAATGTGTTTGTAGTGTAGTGCCTTGACAGAGCTCCAATGTGTTCGCTTACTGACCATTCTTGCCCTGCTATCGATGGGCTGTTGTAGGCACAGCAAATATTAATTTTGGAGCTTTCGTGACTGCAGGAATTATTCTTTGGTTCTTTCGGTAAAGTGACGTATAGAGATAAAATAATAAATTAAATAATAGCATACGACGTTTCGATTGCAACACAAGCAATCATCATCAGGTATAATGAAATAGCGAGACAAAATCTGTGGTTTTCTGGTTAGATTCTATGTCGCTATTTCATTATACCTGATGATGATTGCTTGTGTTGCAATCGAAACGTCGTATGCTATTATTTAATTTATTATTTATCTTCATACGTGACTTTACCGAAAGAACCAAAGAATAATTCTTGCAGTCACGAAAGCTCCAAAATTAATATTTGCTGTGCCTACAACAGCCCATCGATAGCAGGGCAAGAATGGTCAGTAAGCGAACACATTGGAGCTCTGTCAAGGCACTACACTGATGGCCACAACGCAAGCAGCCATCCTCAGGTGAAAACCAGGTCCGTCGAGGCGACAGAGTCTGAATGGTGTCCGTTTTGTTGCCAGAAAAAAGGGGCAAACACCCTATCGGGAACAACATCCCGTTGTTTAAACGTCATCGTGAAATCGAGCCTTCAACGCGCTCTCCCCCACGCTCGCTTGACGACCCAAATCGCTTGACGGCCTATTCGCGGAACCGATCGCCGCCGTTACGAGGAGTGAGATATCGCTGTATCTTGACATCCCCCGGGCCTGCCTCTCGACCCTTTCCAGGGGGGGCCATGTCGGAGTCGCTGGCGCAAGACAACGGCTGGGGTGGGGGGCCGCCGGCGGGGGGCGCAGGGGAGGGGGGCCCGGCCGTCGTGCCCCCCGAACGCTACGATGCCAACCGGGCCAAGACAGCCGCCAGCCTCGCCTGGCTCCTCGGCAAGGCGTACGGCGCTGGTGAGCCGGGGCATCGCCGGCGGCAACGGCCGTCGCCGTTAGCAACCGCACCACGTCGACGCTCCGGTCGCCACGGCCGTAGTTGCCGCGGCGACGATGTCGTCGCCGCGGCGGTACCCGTCGCACGCGCCCGTCGCCGCGAGCAACCGCACCATGCGCCTTTTGGCGTCATCTGGTGCAACACCATGTGAGACTAGGCTCTAGGGAAAGCGGTCTCGGGTGTGGACCAATCAACTTGAAGGACAGTGCATATATTATCAGAGTTGTGTTTTATTTGTGTCATCTGGTCCAACACCATGTGAGACTAGGCTCTAGGGAAAGCTGTCTCGGGTGTGGACCAATCAACTTCAAGGACAGTGCATATATTATCAGAGTTGTGTTTTATTTGTGTCATCTGGTCCAACACCATGTGAGACTAGGCTCTAGGGAAAGCTGTCTCGTGTGTGGACCAATCAACTTCAAGGACAGTGCACATACATTATCAGAGTTATGTTTTTTTGTTTGCATTATGGCTGCAGGTATTGTGGTCTATGCAAACATGACTCCTCGTAAAAAATGTGTCAGTTTTGTTGCCAGATAAAAGGGTAAAAAAACAATTATCATATTTTTTACTGACAAATGAGGTTCCAATGGTGTAAATGCTTACCCCGAGCTCTCATACTCTGATGGTGCGTTGCCTTTGAGTTGTGCGCCTTTTGGCGTCATCTGTTTCAACACCATGTGAGACTAGGCTCTAAGGAAAGCTGTCTCGGGTGTGGACCAATCGACTTCAAGGACAGTGCATATCATTAGCAGAGTTATGTTTAAAATGTTTTTGTTTGCATTATGACTGCAGGTATTGTGGTCTATGCAAACATGACTCCTCGTAAAAAAAGCGTCAGTTTTGTTGCCAGATAGAAGGGTCAAAAAAACAATTATCAACCGCACCACGTCGACGCTCCGGTCACCACGGCCGTGGTTACCACGGCGACACCATCGCCGCCACGGTACCCGTCGCCGCGAGCAACCGTCTCCCCCCCCCCCCCCCCCCCCCCGTTCTCCGCAGACCATGTGCCGGAGCACTTGCGTGACCCCTTCTACACGGACCAGTACGAGCAGGAGCACATCAAGCCTCCCGTGACGCGCCTGCTGCTCACCGGGGAGCTCTACTCTCAGGTGTGTGCGGCGCTTCTTTTAGCTTGGTGTCTTCTGCCCTCGCCCCCCCGCACCTCCGATTTGCATGGATGGCTACTTACGCACGGTGCGAAAGAAGGTCGCACAGTACGTACACACGTGCATAGACTCACACAGAGCCCTAGAGAATCACACACACAGAGCAGTTCCGATAAGCAGGGTCGGCTACGTACGTACGGTACGAAAGAAGTTCACACAGTACGTACACACGTGCACAGACTCGCACTAGAGCCCCAGAGATTCACACAGTGCGTACACACGTGCACAGACTCGCTCAGAGCCCCAGAGATTCACACAGTACGTACACACGTGCACAGACTCGCACTAGAGCCCCAGAGATTCACACAGTGCGTACACACGTGCACAGACTCGCACAGAGCCCCAGAGATTCACACAGTGCGTACACACGTGCACAGACTCGCACTAGAGCCCCAGAGATTCACACAGTGCGTACACACGTGCACAGACTCGCACAGAGCCCCAGAGATTCACACAGTACGTACACACGTGCACAGACTCGCACAGAGCCCCAGAGAATCACACAGTACGTACACACGTGCACAGACTCGCACTAGAGCCCCAGAGATTCACACAGTGCGTACACACGTGCACAGACTCGCACTAGAGCCCCAGAGATTCACACAGTGCGTACACACGTGCACAGACTCGCACAGAGCCCCAGAGATTCACACAGTGCGTACACACGTGCACAGACTCGCACAGAGCCCCAGAGATTCACACAGTGCGTACACACGTGCACAGACTCGCACAGAGCCCCAGAGATTCACACAGTGCGTACACACGTGCACAGACTCGCACAGAGCCCCAGAGATTCACACAGTGCGTACACACGTGCACAGACTCGCACAGAGCCCCAGAGATTCACACAGTACGTACACACGTGCACAGACTCGCACAGAGCCCCAGAGATTCACACAGTGCGTACACACGTGCACAGACTCGCACTAGAGCCCCAGAGATTCACACAGTACGTACACACGTGCACAGACTCGCACTAGAGCCCCAGAGATTCACACAGTGCGTACACACGTGCACAGACTCGCACAGAGCCCCAGAGATTCACACAGTACGTACACACGTGCACAGACTCGCACAGAGCCCCAGAGATTCACACAGTGCGTACACACGTGCACAGACTCGCACTAGAGCCCCAGAGATTCACACAGTACGTACACACGTGCACAGACTCGCACAGAGCCCCAGAGATTCACACAGTACGTACACACGTGCACAGACTCGCACAGAGCCCTAGAGAATCACACAGTACGTACACATGTGCACAGACTCGCACAGAGCCTCAGATTCACACAGGGCAGTTCTGATTAGCATGGCTGGCTACGTACGTACTGTGTGAAAGAAGGTCACACAGTACGTACACACGTGCAAAGACTCGCACAGAGCCCCAGAGAATCGCACAGGGCAGTTCTGATAAGCAGGGTCGGCTACGTACGCACGGTACGAAAGAAGTTCACACAGTACGTACACACGTGCATAGACTCGCACAGAGCCCCACAGAATCACACAGTACGTACACACGTGCACAGACTCGCACAGAGCCCCAGAGAATCACACAGGGCAGTTCTGATTAACACGGCTGGCTACGTACGCACTGTGTGAAAGAAGGTCACACCTTTCGTACACACGTGCAAAGACTCGCACAGAGCCCCAGAGAATCGCACAGGGCAGTTCTGATAAGCAGGGTCGGCTACGTACGCACGGTACGAAAGAAGTTCACACAGTACGTACACACGTGCATAGACTCGCACAGAGCCCCACAGAATCACACAGTACGTACACACGTGCACAGACTCGCACAGAGCCCCAGAGATTCACACAGTACGTACACACGTGCACAGACTCGCACAGAGCCCCAGAGATTCACACAGTGCGTACACACGTGCACAGACTCGCACTAGAGCCCCAGAGATTCACACAGTACGTACACATGTGCACAGACTCGCACAGAGCCCCAGAGAATCACACAGGGCAGTTCTGATTAACACGGCTGGCTACGTACGTACTGTGTGAAAGAAGGTCACACAGTACGTACACACGTGCAAAGACTCGCACAGAGCCCCAGAGAATCACACAGGGCAGTTCTGATTAACACGGCTGGCTACGTACGCACTGTGTGAAAGAAGGTCACACCTTTCGTACACACGTGCAAAGACTCGCACAGAGCCCCAGAGAATCACACAGGGCAGTTCTGATTAACACGGCTGGCTACGTACGCACTGTGTGAAAGAAGGTCACACCTTTCGTACACACGTGCAAAGACTCGCACAGATCCCCGTACTCTTTGGTTCTTTCGGTAAAGTCACGTGGGTATAAAATAAAATAGATCACGACGTTTCGGGCGCAACACAAGCGTCCGTCATCAGGTGTGAAAGCGTGGCCTGCTGCTGATGCAGACTGTCTTAAAGGTTTTAAATGGGTGTAGCCCATGGGTCATAAAGAACTGGCTGGGTCTAGTGATGTTAAAGTGAGAAATTGGCATGTAACTGAGCACGGAAGTGGCTATGGTAAGTTGAGAGATTAGCATGATGTTAATGTGAGAAATTGGCATGTAACTGGGTACGGCAGTAGCTATGATAATGTGAGAGATTAGCATGATGTTAATGTGAGAAATTGGCATGTAACTGGGTACGGCAGTAGCTATGATAATGTGAGAGATTAGCATGATGTTAAAGTGAGAAATTAGCATGTAACTGGGCACGGCAGTAGCTATGATAATGTGAGAGATTAGCATGATGTTAACGTGAGAAATTGGCATGTAACTGGGTACGGCAGGTAGCTATGTTAATGTGAGAGATTAGCATGATGTAATGTGAGAGATTAGTATGTAACTGGCACGGAAGTGGCTATGTTAATGTGAGAGATTAGCATGATGTTAATGTGAGAGATTAGTATGTAACTGGGTACGGCAGTAGCTATGTTAATGTGAGAGATTAGCATGTAACTGGGTACGGAAGTGGCTATGTTAATGTGAGAGATTAGCATGATGTTAAAGTGAAGAATTAGCATGTAACTGGGTACGGCAGTAGCTATGTTAATGTGAGAGATTAGCATGATGTTAATGTGAGAAATTGACATGCAACTGGGTTTGGCAGTAGCTATGTTTAATGTGAGAGATTAGCATGATGTTAAAGTGAGAAATTAGCATGTAACTGGGTACGGAAGTGGCTATGTTAATGTGAGAGATTAGCATGATGTTAATGTGAGAGATTAGCATGTAACTGGGTACGGAAGTGGCTATGTTAATGTGAGAGATTAGCATGATGTTAAAGTGAGGAATTAGCATGTAACTGGGTACGGCAGTAGCTATGTTAATGTGAGAGATTAGCATGATGTTAAAGTGAGAGATTAGCATGTAACTGGGCACAAGCAGTAGCTATGTTAATGTGAGAGATTAGCATGATGTTAATGTGAGAAATTGGCATGTAACTGGGCACAGCAGTAGCTATGTTAATGTGAGAGATTAGCATGATGTTAAAGTGAGACATTAGCATGTAACTGGGCACGGCAGGAGCTATGTTAATGTGAGAGATTAGCATGATGTTAAAGTGAGAAATTGGCATAACTGGGTACGGAAGTGGCTATGGTAAGTTGAGAGATTTGCATGATGTTAATGTGAGAAATTGGCATGTAACTGGGCACAGCAGTAGCTATGTTAATGTGAGAGATTAGCATGATGTTAATGTGAGAAATTAGCATGTAGCTGGGTACGGCAGTAGCTATGTTAATGTGAGAGATTAGCATGATGTTAAAGTGAGAAATTAGCATGTAACTGGGCACAGCAGTAGCTATGTTAATGTGAGTGATTAGCATGACGTTAAAGTGAGACATTGGCATGTAACTGGGTACGGCAGTAGCTATGATAATGTGAGAGATTAGCATGATGTTAAAGTGAGGAATTAGCATGTAACTGGGTACGGCAGTAGCTATGATAATGTGAGAGATTAGCATGATGTTAATGTGAGAAATTAACATGTAACTGGGTACGGAAGTGGCTATGTTAAGTTGAGAGATTAGCATGATGTTAAAGTGAGAAATGTGCAGTAACTGGGCACGGCAGTAGCTATGTTAATGTGAGAGATTAGCATGATGTTAAAGTGAGGAATTAGCATGTAACTCTCTCTCATCTCTCTCATCTCTCACTCACCTCTCTCTCATCTCTCTCATCTCTCACCTCTCTCCCTTCTCGCTCCTCTCGCTCTCCGCGTGGCCTGCTCTCCGGCCCTGCGCCCCGCGTAGGTTTGCCTGCTGGTGATGCGCGGGGGCGGTGGCGGTGGCGGCGGCGGCGACAGGGGCCCCACCGCGGGTCCCGGCGGGGGCCACGGGGCCGTTGTGCGGGCTCTGGCTGACAAGGGCCTTCACGTGGTGGGCGGCGGTTCTGGGGAGACCCCCATCACGGAGGATGACCTGGCGCACACGCCCATCAACATGGTGGGAGGCTGCGTGCAAACGACGGCCGGGTGGCGTTCAAATTAAAACTTTTTAATTTGAATTTTTGTCCTACTTGCTTTACTACCCGGCAGAGGTCGCAATCGGATACCCGATACCCGTACCCTACCCGATACCCGGCTGCCCGTACCCGGCCGGGTGCGGGTAGCCGTTTGCGACCCTGGTGCGGCCGGGTACGGGTAAGGAATCAAAATCCATTTGCGACCTCTGCTATCCGGCTTCGCCTGAGACTTGGATTCTTGTCTTGGATTAACACACGGCCTACGCGGAGGGTGGGGGGTGGGGGATGCGTGACGTCAGCAGGCAACACAGCGTGACGCTGCAGCATGGGGGTGACATCACATCTGTGACGTCACATGTGTGACGTCACAGATGTGACGTCACAGATGTGACGTCACCGCTCACTTGCCGTGCAAAATATATCCATTATTGCGCCCCCCCCCCAAAATACAAAAGTCTATTTTTATGCTTTTTGCATTGTGTTCAGTCTGGAAGCTACCCACTTGTCAAAGTTTGTTGCATGTCGCGAAGTACGCTAAACATTTCGAACGGACACACATATTCACAAATTTCCCTTTTATACATATAGATTCAACTTTTTGGTTTTATCGTCTATTATTTTATTGTTACTTTGAATGTGCATACAAAAATTCTACGGTAATTTCAATAGTTTACTTATCGCCCTCCCCTTCCCTCTCTCTGGTACAAAGACGCTGAACGTAGGGGGCGGGGGGAGGGGTGGGTTGGGGGAGAGGGGGTGGGGCGGGGGGGGGGTTCGTGGGGGGTACAGAAGCTCAGCGATCGGGGGGCCCGAGAATATGTCGGCTTGACAGGTTGCTCTGTGGGAGGGCCGGGGGGGGGGTAGAGATTGGGCTCACTACTCCACGCAGGTGGGAAACACCGTGTGCATTGGGGCAGGGGGGAGGGCACGTGGTGTGAAGGGTACAGGTCGCTTCTAAACAAGAGCTGCATAGCTCAGTCGGCTTTACCTGCTAAAATACAAGTTTGGTTTTAATATGGGTCTTGACGAGTATGGGTTTCTGTAGGTCTCTGAGTGGATCTCTGTGAGTGTGGGTCTCTGTGGGTCTCTGTGGGTCTCTGTGGGTCTCTGTGGGTCTCTGTGGGTCTCTGTGGATCTCTGTGGGTCTCTATAAGTATGGGCGTCTGAGTAGGGTCTCTGTGGGTCTCTGTGGGTCTCTGTGGGTCTCTGTGGGTCTCTGTGGGTCTCTACGAGTCTGTGGCAACACGCGTTTTTGGATGCCGCTGTACATTCCGCACGACGATGATGATGATGACGATGATGATGACGATGATGACGACGATGATGATGACGAACGATGATGATGACGACGATGATGATGACGACGATGATGATGACGACGATGATGATGATGACGACGATGACGACGACGACGACGATGATGATGATGACGACGATGATGATCATCGGCCACTTTATTGTCATTTTCGATTGCCGGGGTTCGCTACCGATAAAGAGCTCCACAGTGGCTCGGATTGGGGCCTTACCTGGTTGTAAAATACAAAATAGTCGTGAAATAGTCACGGATTGACCGAATGATTGGCAGATGCTGCACCACCACCACCTGTGCTCCCCACTATGATTTTGTTACGCCGGGCCAGGAGGGGGGGGGGGTGCGGCGGGGGACGGGGGACGGGGGACGGGGGGCTTTTGCCGCGCGTCATTCTCCCCGTGCCCACTCCCCTCGCGGCACACGCGTAATCCCGGCGCGTGCCGGCAGAGCTGTTTGCTTTGTTTAAAACGTGCCGATGTCACCGGGGGTGAAGCGACCCCGGTGAGAGGGGGACGGCGGGGGGGGGGCTGCTGGCGCGAACGCTATCAGCGCTGGCGCATTCCTCCGAGTCTCTGTGGGTTGCCTCTAGCGGGTCTTTTCTTTCTCTCACTCTCTCACTCTCTCGCTCTCATCGTCCTGAATTCCCCACGGAACGGGTCGCTGGGCTCCCGAGATGAGCGCTCGTCTTGTTCTGTGTTGTGTATTTGTTTGTAACGTCAATACGAGGGGCCGGCACGCCAAGCGACGCGGAGAGGTTTCACGTGAGATGCGGAACGAGGAGGGAGAGCGCCGAGGGAGATGCATGTTCTTAACCCTTTTCCTTACGGGTTTCTGTAGGTCTGTAGGTCTCTGTGGGTCTCTGTGGGTCTCTGTGGTCTCTGTGGGTTTCTGTGGGTCTCTGTGGGTCCTCTGTGAGTGTGGGTCTCTGTGGGTCTCTGTGAGTGTGGGTCTCTGTGGGTCTCTGGAGTGGGGTCCTCTGTGGGTCTCTGTGGGTGTGGGTCTCTTTGGGTGTGGGTCTCGTGGGTCTCTGTGAGTGTGGGTCTCTGTGGGTCTCTGTGGGTCTCTGTGAGTGTGGGTCTCTGTGGGTCTCTGTGAGTGTGGGTCTCTGTGGGTCTCTGTGAGTGTGGGTCTCTGTGGGTGTGGGTTTCTGTGGGTCTCTGTGGGTGTGGGTCTCTGTGGGTCTCTGTGAGTGTGGGTCTCTAGGGGTCTCTGTGAGTGTGGGTTTCTGTGGGTCTCTGTGGGTGTGGGTCTCTGTGGGTCTCTGTGAGTGTGGGTCTCTGTGGGTCTCTGTGGGTGGTGGGTCTCTGTGGGTCTCTGTGAGTGTGGGTCCTCTGTGGGTCTCTGTGGGTCTCTGTGGGTCTCTGTGAGTGTGGGTCTCTGTGGTCTCTGTGGGTCTCTGTGAGTGTGGGTCTCTGTGGGTCTCTATGAGTATGGGTCTCTGTGGGTCTCTGTGGGTCTCTGTGGGTCTCTGTGAGTGTGGGTCTCTGTGGGTCTCTGTGGGTCTCTGTGGGTCTCTGTGAGTATGGGTCTCTGTGGGTCTCTGTGGGTCTCTGTGGGTCTCTGTGAGTATGGGTCTCTGTGGGTCTCTATGAGTGTGGGTCTCTGTGGGTCTCTATGAGTGTGGGTCTCTGTGGGTCTCTGAGTATGGGTCTCTGTGGGTCTCTATGAGTATGGGTCTCTGTGGGTCTCTGAGTATGGGTCCTCTGTGGGTCTCTATGAGTATGGGTCTCTGTTGGTCTCTGAGTATGGGTCTCTGTTGGTCTCTGAGTATGGGTCTCTGTGGATCTCTATGAGTATGGGTCTCTGTGGGTCCTCTATGAGTATGGGTCTCTGTGGGTCTCTATGAGTGTGGGTCTCTGTGGGTCTCTGTGAGTATGGGTCTCTGTGGGTCTCTATGAGTATGGGTCTCTGTGGGTCTCTATGAGTATGGGTCTCTGTTGGTCTCTGAGTATGGGTCTCTGTTGGTCTCTGAGTATGGGTCTCTGTGGATCTCTAATGAGTATGGGTTTCTGTGGGTCTCTATGAGTATGGGTCTCTGTGGGTCTCTATGAGTATGGGTCTCTGTGGATCTCTATGAGTATGGGTCTCTGTGGATCTCTATGAGTATGGGTCTCTGTGGATCTCTATGAGTATGGGTCTCTGTGGATCTCTATGAGTATGGGTCTCTGTGGGTCTCTATGAGTGTGGGTCTTTGTGGGTCTCTGTGAGTGTGGATCTCTACGAGTGTGACGACGACGATGACGATGACGACGATGATGACAATGATGACGATGATGAAAAGCCAAACTTGATTAGAAGCTTTCCTGACTGCAGCAATTACTTTTGGTTCTTTCGCTAAAGTCATGTAGAAATAAACTAAACTAAGTAATAGAATGCGACGTTTCTAATGCAACACAAGCAGCCGTCATCCGGTGTGAATGCACACGATGCATTCGTATAGTAGTATAGTGGTGTATAGTAATATTATAGCGTATAGTAGTATATAGTAGTGTATAGTATATAGTTGTGTATAGTAATATATAGTAGTATATAGTAGTGTATAGTAATATAGTAGTATATAGTAGTGTATACGAACATTGCATATCTACACTCGTCTGGGCGAAACAACCAAACCTTCGCCAATCCGCGTTCCAGCGGGGGATGCCCCGAACCGAAACCACCACCCCCCGCCGCATGATCCGCCACCTCTGTCGCTCACGAACGGTTTAACGGAGCGTCCGTGTGCCCGCCCGCGTGACCAGGTGGCTCACCTGGTCATGCGGGTCTCTATGAGCGTGGGTCTCTGTAGGAACGGTTTAACGGAGCGTCCGTGTGCCCGCCCGCGTGACCAGGTGGCTCACCTGGTCATGCGGGTCTCTTTGAGCGTGGGTCTCTGTAGGAACGGTTTAACGGAGCGTCCGTGTGCCTGCCCGCATGACCAGTGGCTCACCTGGTCACGCGAGTCTCTTTGAGCGTGGGTCTCTGTAGGAACGGTTTAACGGAGCGTCCGTGTGCCCGCCCGCGTGACCAGGTGGCTCACCTGGTGAAGCGGTCTCTATGAGCGTGGGTCTCTGTAGGAACGGTTTAACGGAGCGTCCGTGTGCCCGCCCGCGTGATCAGGTGGCTCACCTGGTCACACGGGTCTCTATGAGCGGGGGTCTCTGTAGGAACGGTTTAACGGAGCGTCCGTGTGCCCCGCCCGCGTGATCAGGTGGCTCACCTGGTCATGCGGGTCTCTATGAGCGTGGGTCTCTGTAGGAACGGTTTAACGAGCGTCCGTGTGCCCGCCCGCGTGGTCAGGTGGCTCACCTGGTCATGCGGGTCTCTTTGAGCGTGGGTCTCTGTAGGAACGGTTTAACGGAGCGTCCGTGTGCCCGCCCGCGTGACCAGGTGGCTCACCTGGCTCTGATGGACGCGCTGATGATGGCGGTGGCGGTGGAGATGATGAGCGTGGAGCGCGTGGTGGCGGCCGTGCAGCGCTTCTCCACGTTCTCCGCCTCGCAGGAGCTGCCCTACGGCCTGGAAGACGCCATGCTCTTCTGGATCAACAAGGTGAGCGTTACGGGGTCGTGCCGCGCGCGCGTTGGCGAGGGTAACGCACACAGGTACGCGCTGGGTAGGCCTTGGCAAGGTAAGGTAAAAGTTTAAAGGTAAAAACAACGAGCCTAGCTTTACCTTACCACAATACAAATTACCCGATTACAGGGTAATTACTAGGGAACTACTACACATGACAAGGTTTATAACGGTAAATGCTAAGGTAGAGCGCTTTATACATATAGAATACTCTAGATGATTCCAATTTTACACGCTTTCTATTAACTCACTCTGTCTTTTGTTGTCGTCGTCGTTGTTGTTGTTGTCGTTGTTGTTGTCGTTGTTGAAGTCGTCATCGCTGTCGTATCCTCAAATTTTGTAATTCAATTTTAACCCACTTCCCAATGTGGTATCGACTGCAAACTTGGTATACGTATGTCATAATGGTGACAATACTATATTCTATCACTAAAAAAAATACATATTTTTAAATGATCTTTTTTACACGTTATGTTTCGGCTTGGCTCTAATTGTCCACGCTCAACTGACGTTGGCTGTAATTGGCCACGGTCCCTCACGTTATGGCAAGCCTCGGGGCCACTTACTGGAGTCGTGGAGTTCTTCCATTACTAGTACATTTTATAAAAGCGTGTTTTTTTTAAAGTTTGTTTAAATGTTACTTATTAAATGGAGGCCACGGACTGCGCCACGGAGCTTTAGCGGTAAACAAGGCACCGTATTTACCGGGTAATTCTTCCGAGCTACCTTTACCCGACCCTTTACCTTACCCCCTTGGCATGTCGACATCTTTACCCTTTTACCCGGTAAAAAGGGTAATTTACCTTCCTTTCGATTTAAAGCTTTCGTGACTGCAGGGATTCATCTTCTTGGTTCTTGTGGTAAAGTCACGTAGAATGGAAATAATAAAATAATAAAAATGAACATAATAAAATAATTCCTCACGACTTCTAGATTTGAAGCTTTCGTGACTGCAATGATTCATATTCTTAGGTTTTTTCGGTAAAGTCACGTAGGTAAAAACATTAAAAGTAAATAAAATAAAAATTTCATTTCATTTACTTGATACAGCTGTCGTGGCTGTGACGGTTCCACCTGAAGACGGAAGCTTGTGTTGCCTCCGAAACGTCGTGATTTTTATTTTATTTTACTTTTTAATGTTTTACCTACGTGACTTTACCGAAAAACCTAAGAATATAATTCTCACGACGTTTCGGCCACAACGCAAGCAGCCGTCCTCAGGTGAAGAATGAAACACCACCAAGCTTGGAGCGTATATTTAATCTGGGTTGGAGATTCTTTTGGGTTGCAAATTCTTTTGTCAAGGTGCTCTTCTTCCCACCTCCCCCTCTCCAACGCAGCTTAAATATACGCTCCAAGCTTGGTGGTGTTTCATTCTTCACCTGAGGACGGCTGCTTGCGTTGTGGCCGAAACGTCGTGAGAATTATTTTATATGTTTTATTTGTATTATTTATATTTCTCTTCTACGGAATGACTTTACCGAAAGAACCAAGAAGACTCAGCTCAGGTCACGTGTTATTTATTTCGCTTTACCGGTTAAGGCCCCACAGAGTTGCTGTGCCCCTGACCCTGGCCATCACGAATGATTGCAGCTCCACCACGTGACTTATCGTCATCATCATCATCACAGTGGACATTCACAGCGGCAGCCGAATACTCCGAACGCGGTTTGTACAGACTCATAGAGACCCGTGGACCCACAAAGACCCATACTCATAGAGACCCATACTCCATAGAGACCCACAGAGACCCATACTCATAGAGCGCTGGGGCTACACGGAACGCAGCAGGCGCAGAGCGGCAGTGTTTGTCGTGCTGCACGACAAACTGTGGAACTGAACTGTTCGTTTACGCGGTGATCGTCATTGTCGCCTGGAAATTTTATAGCGGCAGTCAAATGCTGGAAACGCGTGGCGCCGACTCTAAACGCGGCGAGGGTAGAAACCGGGAGGACCCGGAGAAAAATCCACGCGAGAGAGAGAGACGCGCAAACTCCAAATACACAGGGCGCTTAATTAGTTTTGAATACTACTTCTTGGCTCTATCGGTAAAGTCACGTAGAAGGGAAATAATCAATAATAAAAATAAAACATAATAAAATAATATAATATTTTATTAAAATAATAATGTATAAAGTCACGTAGAAGGGAAATAATCAAATAATAAAAATAAAACATTAAAAAATAATATATATTTTATTAAAATAATATATATAAAGTCACGTAGAAGGGAAATAATCAAATAATAAAAATAAAACATAATAAAATAATATATATTTTATTAAAATAATATAATATAAAGTCGAGTAGAAGGGAAATAATCAAATAATAAAAATAAAACATTAAATAATATAATATATTTTATTAAACTAATATAATATATTTTATTATGGTTTATTTTTAATATTTTATTATTTCCCTTCTACGTGACTTTATATTATATTATTTAAATAAAATATTAGATTATTTTATTGTTTTATTTTTATTATTTTATTATTTCCCTTCTATTAAAATCATATATTTTATTATGTTTTATTTATATTATTTTATTATTTCCCTTCTACGATGACTTTACCGAAAGAACCAAGAAGATGAATCCCTGCTGCAGTCACGAAAGCTTTCAATCGAAATTTTCAATACTTATATGGGACTTTCGCTTTTCATGGAAAAAGAACGGGATAATTCACACGCGCGCGCACGAGTGAATTCACAGAGGCCACGCTGCCGATCCGTTGTCGTTGTGCGCAGGTGAACATGAAGATGCGCGAGATTGTGGAGGCTGAGTGGAAACTGCGACAGAGATCGGAGTCGCCTGCCCACCACAAGGTAACGGCTCGCCGGAGACGTGCCAGTCGTCGCCAAACACCGTGCGGGATGGGTACACCCAACGCCGACGCCACTGCCGCCATCCCGTGCGAACATCACTACCACCACCATCACCAGCTGCTACTACTACTACCGTGCGAACATCACTACCACCATCACCATCACCAGCTGCTACTA